GTATGAAATCACCAAAAGCACCTGTTTGACACTTCTTCACAGAATTTTTCAATTTGAAATCAGTCTGCAGGCATTTATGGTTTGATTTTTTGAGTTGTTACCAACATCTGGTGAAAATTTCATGTCATTAGCACCTCTAGTTATATATTTACTGAGAAAAATGGTGACTTGTTCAATACTTATTTTACCCTCTGTGTGTGAAGGAACTTCAAATGCTTTGTCTGATTTCATTACCGTCTTAGCAGGGAGTGCGAATATTAAGCAATTTAAATCTTATTATTGTTTTTTTTTTTCTTTTAAAGCTGAACCTGGGAACGAAAGCGAGCGAATAGAATTTTCCAACCTGGTCCTTCTCTTCTGTGAGCTCATTCGCCACGACGTCTTCTCCCACAACATCTACATGTGCACGCTGATCTCCCGTGGCGACCTGGCTTCGGACTCTCACCTGCCGCGGCCACGTTCCCCGAGCGACGAGCCCTCCGATGAGTCGGAGCGCAAAGAGCAGGATGCGGGCATCAGTGTGAAGATGGAGGCATGTTGGAGGCATCTGTTGTTGTTGTTGTTGTGTAACTGCTTTGTGTTAAATTTTAACATCAAGTTATTTGTCCAGCAGGATACCGGTCTGTCTGAGTCGATGGAAATTGATCCCAACTCCAGTGCTAATTTTGAGGAGGTAGACGAAGCATAAAGTGTCATTCAGTATATAGCTCCAGTTTGTTTTAAAGTAAAGTTTATTCTCACGGTAACGCTGGAGGTAACCTCAGACTTTCGTTCTCTGCAGATGTTCTCACCTCCGATGCATTGCGAGTCCAAAGGGAGCCCCTCCCCCGAGAAGCCCGCTCCGGACCTGGACAGCAAGCCCAACTGCAAAGACAAAGGCATGGACCCCGCCTTCCCGCAACTCTACGATCAACCGCGGCACATTCAGTATGCTACTCACTTCCCCATTCCACAGGTAAGAACGCTGAGTCGAGCCCCCCGCAGAGGCTGTTAAGAAACATGCTGACCCCTGAGCAAATTTTATTGGTGACCCTTGCTTTCGATGAAAGTTGTAAAATTTTAAATGAGCCATAATTTTTGATAGAATCACTCCTAATAATTTGGACAGCTGATTTAGAGTCTGCGTCTTTCTGTCTGCATTGCGTTCCCAAACTGACAATCGTTCAGATTTAAAGTTTCAGTCTGAAATATTCAACTGTCAAATATACCTTTAAGCATCTAATGAAAGTAGATAAGAAAACAATTAAGGAAGAATTGTTGAAGAAAAATGAAATTGTTTAATTTGTGTTCGTTACAGTTTAAGGAGTTTGAATTTTTTGTTTTGTTTTTTATTTGGTTTATCATTGTTTGAAGAAAAAAATTTATTTATTTATTTATTTA